AAGTTCTTATCTTAGCCATCTGAGAAGATCAAATACATTGTTTTTGGTGCCTAACTGTTTCCCAAGTATATTAGTGTGTGTGTGAATGAATAAACGAGAGGCATTAACGTAAATTTCTTTGTAGAAAGGCGCTTTATGAAATTAAGTCCATTCACTTGTATTAGTTTACAGCGCAGCCTTGCCACATCCAATATGGCGGCGACGTTGACGTATCGCAGCAGCGGGCAAACCCACTTGATGCGGCGTCTACGTATATATGTCTATGGTTGAGAGGGCCGAGTGAGAGGACGTTCCTGTAGTAGTTCCTGCCCCCCAAATAGTACCAGGAACTTCTTCAGTGGAAATGGGCCTATGGACCACAGTAAAGTGGTAAATTAAAAAGGATGTTGAAAGTGTGATGCAGACTCTGTTATATTCTGTCATACTGTATCTATGTTTTCATTGTTGTTGCACATTTGTTTCTATTTATGGGGCTCTGGAGCCCATTCAGTGTAACATAAAATACAGTGTAGTTTTAAGTTTGTGTGACAACAACTTTGTTATTCCACTGTATTTCAGATTTGTTGGACTTTATGAAGGAACTAGAATTACTACCTCACGCTTGCATGTCTACGCCATGTTCGTCAATTTGTAGTTACAGTTTACATCCATGTCTGTCCACAGCACAGTAGACAGTGTTTCATATATGGATGTTGCCACAAAGGAACTGCATATTCTAAAACATGGATGCTTCACACACATTTTCAGAATCTGACCAAATGCCCAACCCAAAAACATAATGCCTCTGGCAACAGCTTTCGCTGGCATTTCAGATTTCAGATTAAATATATGTACTCTAAGAATTCATTTTCACATTATGACTTGTCCCTTATTACACTTTGTTCCCATATACTATAGTTCAAGCCATAGCTGTGGAACTCAATCTGTGTAATCTGACAAATTGATAGTTTAAACCTCCTTTTTCTATTTGTGGAGACAGTTTATGGTATTAGGAAAGTTAATGAGGTAAGGAAAATCTTAATGAAACTAGCAGAATCTGGTCAAACTTGCAACAATGTTCAATGCCAGATCGTATTTCTCCCACACTGAGGTTGTAAAAAAGATGGAAAAGCCAACGTTTCCCTCGAAATCTGTTCAGGCAGATTTCCACCAAAATGTTACTTATTTCTAAAAGTTATTGTGCAGTCATAAATCTCTTTTACCCCCATCATAAATACGCACCTGAGTACAGATTGAGAATTAAGTGATGAAATAAAAGCTAAAGCCACTAATTAAAAATTTAACGCAGAGCCATTAAGGCAGAAGCTGTTTTTTTGGACTCAGATAGAATGACAGGCTTACTGGTAAATAAACACAAGTGAGATGAGTGCAAATCAGGTAACTCTGTTGCCAGAACAGGATGATTAAACTGGGTGTGCTGGCAACAGGGCTGGACTTGTGGGTTTAATGGATGGGATGGAGATGAGTACACACTACACACTCAAATGAATTTTAGGATTCTCTGGTACAGCAGCCTGAAAATAATGTTTTCTTACTATTTGTCTCTGTTTGACAGCTCTGTTTTTGGAACCAATCACATGTGAGCCCTCAGGCCAACAACGGCCTTGTCTGACTTTAATCTATATTTTTGGTTTCATAAATATAATCTAATTTTAAAGGAATACTTCAACCCCCAAAAGACGATTTGTACATCAATTACTCACCCCATGTTACACTGATTTTGTTTGTCTTGCATGCCTCTGTGGTAAACAACGAACCCAAAAATTTAAAGATTTCTTGATGAATTAAAGTCTTAGGGGTCCAAGCTTGACAACAACAAAACTACATCAAAATATCTGTTTACACACTCTCACACATCTCATGAAGTATAATCCAAGTCTCATTTAGTTGGTTGTATGCTCAGTACTTACCAAACAAACAGCTCGTTTCAACAGGCAACTCAACAATAAGTGAAATGTATTTATGCTATCTTCAAAGCTGGACTCCACTGACAAAAACAGTAATTTTACCCCCTTTGAACACAGGAGCTGCTGGTCTACTGCTGTCTCAATCAGTTAGTAAGTTTGTATTAGTGTGTCACTTTGGTGTTTTAAAGTCTTCGTTCAGAGCTGCCAAAGTTAAACAATAACAACAAACTACTGATTGGGGCAGTGTTAGACCAGCAGCTCCTGTGTTCAACGATGTAAAATTACTGTTTTTGTCAACAGAGTCTGGCCTTGAAGACAACATTGAAAAGTTTCACTTTTCATTTAAGTTCCCCGTAGGAAAGGGATGTCTGTTTGGGAAATACTGAGCATAAGACTGGATGAATGAGACTTGGATTATGCTGCATGATTTGTGATTGAGTTTGTTAACGGATGTTTTGATATTGTTTCATATAGGTTTGTTGAAAATGTGGACCCCTATGACTTCTTTTCATCAAGAATTTTCTTCAGTTTTTGAATTATTTGTTCTCTGTGGAGGCATGTGAGAAAAACAAAGTTTTCTCCATGAATTCAACCAACATGTTTTCATAGAACGGATTGTATGATATCCTACCAAAAACCCCAGTCTGCTTCCTTTGAGCACTCAGGACTGCTTCCTTGTTTACTGCCATCAGCACATTGGTCATGTGATTGTAGTCTTTCAATATATGTGGGATATGCATGAATTTGGGTGCACTGCTTTTTGTAGGAAAACAAAAAATACGTGGCAATAGATTCAGTGCAACACAGGATAAGTAATTGAAATACACATGGTCATTTGGGGGGGGTGAAGTATTCCTTTAAGTCATAACCATCGGTCCAATGAAATGTAATTGTACAAACTGGGTCACATATTTTTTTTCTTTTCACTGTACATTGAATTGTTGAGTGGCTTGACGTTTGATATGGAGGTGACCTTAATAAGTCATATAAGACCAGTCAGATCAGTGTGATGGGTGGGCTTGTCATTTATCAAGGCTGTGGGCAGCCAAGCAGACCACACCAGTGCTACAGCACACAAATGTTCATTTACTGTGCTCGACTCATTTCTGCTAACGTTTTTGTTTTGCTTTGTTCTGTCTCCCTCCACCCCACTCAGGGGACTTAGATGGGCTGGTGCCAGGCTGTTAGAATAACCTCTTGTCATGTGCTTTGACTTTGGAGGGAGGGAGACAGCAGAGGAACTGGTGGGAGGACAGATCAGATCAGACTGGAGAGGGAGAAGCCCTCAGAGGGACTTCAGTCTCTCAAACACATTGAGAAGGATAGGGTGTAAAGTTGAATAATATTCAAGACAAGGGAAGCGTGAACTCACCCAAAGCCAGATACCATGCGGCAGAAGAGGAACATACTGTAGCCTTGTACAAAGGAGGACAGGAAGGCGAAGAAGCCATTGAAGGACATGGATATCAGCAAACACTGCCTGCGGCCCACCTTGTCTGAGAGACCGCCCCAAAAGAAGGCTCCAAACATCATCCCCAGATACACAATGCTACCTGGAGACAGGGAGGGGGACAGAGATAGATGTAAATTATCTCAACCATCTGGAGTCAAATCTTTGTTAATCAAACTGAGTGAATAAAACACATTACACTTTGGAGATGGGAGACAGTTTGCTGACACACTCATTCTTGCATGCATTCCCCCACTGCAGCATTCACATTAAAAAATGTTAGACAAACAGCCTTATTGAGGCAAGTACAAAGAAATTTTACATTTTGGAAAAAAAACATGCCTATGATTGTCTTTCTTTTTTTGAAACACAAATGCATAAGATTACAAAAAAACAAAAAAAAAAACAGTTTTGTTAAGGACCCCTTTGCTCTCTGGTGGACAAGTTATGTAATTTTCATGCCGTTTCTAAATTATTTCAAGCAAATTTTGTCATGTGTGCACTGCATTTTCTTTATGCTTATTAGCCAACATATACACTATTGCCAATATGTATTTAAATAGCAATCAATACGCATGGCCGATGTATTGGTCAGACTCTACTTATACCTTCATGTATTTATGTATTTCAGAGGATTTCCCCATTTAAACATACATAAACCAAGGCCCATCTAAACATCTCTACACAATTGCCTATTTGAAAAAAATACCTTGTTTATAACAGAAAAGTACAAACCTTACTTGAGAAGAAATTTACGAATGCTTGCAAACACAGTGCTTTAAACCGCAGATTGTAAAAATAATGGACGTAGCTGCCATGGTGTCACACATTGGTCTGTGCACTCCAGTTTTGAAGCCTTGAGCTTTTTTTTTTTGCCAGGAGGCACCATATTTGGGTCCATGTCATTGGTTCGACAGCCCATTGGTTCAACATTTCATTAGTCCGACTGTCCGCGGTGCTGAACGGCTCGCGGCGGGCGTATGGTGCGCCGCATCCGGCTTGAGGCGGAGCAGGCTCACGGCTTATGTGTTTGTCACTTTCTTTTTCATTTTAACCTACACCATGATCTTTTCTTGACCCTAACCAAGTGGTTTTTGTGCCTAAACCTAACCAGACCTTAACCACAGGGCATCATGATGATTTCGGAACGGACTTCGGAACAATGAGTTTAATATGTTCGGAACAATGGGATGTCGAACCAATGGGCTGTCGAACCAATGGGCAGTTCCCCCATATTTGTGGCAAGGCTGGTGCTGTAGAGGAATGACTCAAAGCCTGAGGACACTATCAACAGACAGCCTGTCACTCAAAGTGGCCTGCCCTTAATCATGTGTAACTTAATGCCTTATTAAAATATAAGTATAAAAGTTATAGAAAAAATGTACCCCCCGTACACTTGTCATGAATGCTGAAATAAACAAAAGAGACCATAATTGTTTTTGTATCAGGGTGTAAACGTGTATTTCTGTTGTAATGCTGAGCATTTTAACATGGGGGTCTAATGGGATTGACTGGCTTCCAGAGCCAGCCTCAAGTGGCCATTAGAGGAACTGCAGCTTTTGGCACTTCAGTGTTTTTTAGTCCTGGAGGCTGACACTTAGTTTAAACCATGCTAAGGGCTCTAGTTTCGCAGACTGGGGCGAGGCGGGGACGCAGCGCACCTGCGCTTCGCCAACTGGGTGTGGCCAGGCGGATTTTGCAAGTTTGGCACACCGTGCGCCTGGCACAGCTACTCCTCTTTCCCACCTCCGTCCCTCCTACCTGCGCAAGTTGGAAAGAGGGAGGAGAGAAGGCGTGGAGTGGGTTTTACACACATCACACCAATCAAATGAGCCCCTCTCCCCGCCCTTAAATGCGCTGTGCAAAGGCGTAATGAGAGTTTACTCAATTCGCCATGGCAGAAGAGAGCAGCAGTGTCAGACGGCTAAACTTCTCGCAGGAGGAAAGTGATGTGTCCGAATATACGGAACTGCGAGCAGACCTCCACGGGCTGATGATGCAAAGGTAGCCTGGGAGGAGGTCACCACAATTGTAAATCAATGTTGCGTTTCTCTCGTGCGCGCGTGCGCTCTCTCTTTCTCTCTCGCAGTCTCACTCTGTTTCTTTTCTTTTGACTTTTCTAAGATGACAGATGCTGAATATATACTCCCTATCTGATGCTGTGGCTGTTTGTGGTTGGCTGAGAGGGATGTGAACTCATCAGTTTTGTTAATCAAATTAGGTTGGGTTTCCATTACGCGTGCCAAACATGCCAAATGGTGCCAATCCCCTTTGGTCTGACATCAGATGTGACGGGACAGTCGGTATAGAGATACATTTATGTGCTGATTGCAGATAGTTGCATTGAATAGTGGTTTTGTGGCTATTTATTGCATCGTTAATGTGCCTGATATTCTGGAAACCTGCCTGTGAGGTTTTGGTGACGTGTGCGCAGTCCGCTGTCAGCCAAACTTCGGCTTACACCGGCTGCGCTCCCCCTGCGCTGACAGTAGACCTGGTTTCAGCTGGCGAGCTTTTAGCGCACCTTCGGCGAAGCCTTTTGGCACGAAACTGTCACTGCGCCAAGCTGGATCTGTCGACACCTCCCCCTGCTGCGCTGCCACACCCATCTCAGCGCACCTTGGTCTGTCAAACTACCAAACTGAGCACGCCTCGGGTTGTGCTGCTCGAAACTAGCTCTGCGCGGGGTTCGCCACCCTGCGCTGCGCCGGGAAACTAGAGCCCTAAATCTTGAATGCAGGAAAACCATATCTGTACTGGCTTCATAGAGTTAAGAGGTGTATGTTTGTTGTGCCTGTGACCACACACATAATCACAGCTAGGTGTGATCAGGTGACAATACCAACTGTAGCAGTGGGTATGGAAAAGCATGGAATCACAAATAGGTGGCAGTGCAAGCCAGATAATGTGCCACAGTGTGGTCACTCTTTAAGGGCATGGTCACACATGCGTGAAATTAACATACAAATATTTGCCTTCACTTCCTTTCAATGCAAGCAAAGTGGCGAATAAACTATTTGTTTCTAAATGATAGATAGATAATATAGCATAGGTGTAGCACAGGCACTAAAGCTCTAAAGCTCTGTACACTGTACAGTATATCAAACAGTACAGTATGTCAGTTACACATTAATGAAATACATTTTGTACTGTTTGATTGGTCTGACACCTGGTGACATTTCAGGTATTGGTAGTCCAGTATTGCACTGGTCTTAGACACATACACACACACGCATATAGTTACACACAAATACACACACAACTACTAAACATAAGTTGAGGCATTAAGTGGTGCTTTCCAAGTGCATTGTGGAGTAACAGAGCTCTAAAAGAAATTGGTTCTGTTATTTCCCAGCTATCGACAGAACACTGAGAGGTTACATAAAATGTAAGTCTATATAAATAGCAGAGCTGGGATCAATTGAGTTTGGCTTGGAGCACAACAAGGCCACAACACTGTATATCAACTCGACCGTGTTTTGACTGGACTGAAGGCATAGTTTTCCTAACTGTAATTATGATAGTCACTGTGTCGGCTTTAGCAGGGTCAGTGTCTGGTGGTTTTCTTAGTGAGGAAATGGAATATTCAAAGAATGTCACATAATTCAGTTGACATTTATTCAGGCCTACTTTTATTTAAGCGCTTGAAGATCAAATCATCATTTAAGTGTCATACAAGAGAGCCAATAAAAACAAATGGACAGTGAATTAATTTCTGTTTTTCTCAGTCAATAGCTAGCTTACTGTATATGAAATATGCAGTCTGTAGGTTTCTTTATTTGTGATGCAGGTGCAATAGAGAGATTACAAGGCCAGCCCGTTAAACTTGTGCTGGGTTCACAATGTCTGCAGGAAATGCTTAGCTGTGTTTTCAAAGTCTAGCCTATTAGATGAGCTTGACCTCTGCATGCACTGCAGCTTCTCCTCAGAATGGATGTTTCATATATGGCTTCAGTTGCTTGGCACAAGTAAATAAATTAAATCATTCAAAACAAACAACTTGTGTTTGTTAGCCTATCATTGCTTAATGCCATGCTAATTACAACTTACTACATCCATGGTATCACACTCTTGTTTAACATTCTCAACTATTCATAAAGCCCATCCAAGTAAGGTAAGGCAAGTTAAGTAATGTAGTTATGTATGTGAGTAAAGTTACAAAGGTTAGGTCAAGGAAAGTAAAGATACGCAGGTTAGGTTTTAGCAAGTATAGTTACGTAGATTAAGACAAGGTAAGTAAAGTTATAAAGATAAGTTCAAAGCAAGTAAAGTTATGTAGTTTAGGTTTTGGCAAGTAAAGTTACAAAGGTCAAGGCAAATAAAGTTTTGTAGATTAGGTTTAGGCAAGTGTTACGTAGGTTAGGTAGGTTTAGAAAAGAAACATGGTGATGCTGTACCTTAAAATAACTCAAATTCACTTTCACACAGTTCTGACCACCAGTCTCCTGGGGCATAGTCTTGTGCTTTATGAACCATCCACTAGACCAACCTGTCTTCTTATGTGGACTTTCGGTCATTATACTACTTTCTCACTTTGCTAGCAGATTGGTCACATGATTGCAGTCTTCCCGATACTTGGGCTATAGGAAATTTCTGGCTCGTGATTGCGTAGATTGTACACAATTTGTGGTGCATTACTTTTCATACATATGAACCTTGCATGAGACCAGCCTGACTAATAATGTGAACCTGCCACCATAGGTTACATAACCCTCGAAATAAGCCACAATTTAAGTGTGCATGTGCACACTTGCACGCCCATTAAAGGTGCACTGCAGCACTTGAAGAAATAGCACTGCACCCTTGGGAACCACATTACATGATAAAACTGAAGTGTTAAAAGATTAAGTTACAACAGCTACTCAATGTGCACAGGCAATAATGTGCTCCAACAGAGGCTTCATTTTGCATGGAGAGGTGTGTTTGCATTTCCTTTATCTATTTACTGGTATCTAATATGGTAATTTGAAATGTCTATAGTAACTGCTGTTTGTAAACCAACATTTTGTGATACAATGAAGATTTGACTCCAGTTTAATTCTTCTGACTGAAATGAATCTGTCTGGAAAACTGATATTTCTAAAAGTGACCATGGGGGAAACA